CCGAGGATCCCTCACAGGAGGGTGTGGAGCTTATCCCAGGTACCATCCGAGGATCCCTCACAGGAGAGTGTGGAGCTTATCGCAGGTACCATCCGAGGATCCCTCACAGGAGGGTGTGGAGCTTATCCCAGGTACCATCCGAGGATCCCTGACTGGAGGGTTCCCAGTTGTTGCCCTTTGACACCGGTTCTGTTCATAACCTTTATGGACAGAATTTCTAGGCATAGCCTAGGGGCGAAGGGGATACGATTCCGGGACCTTAGGATTGTATCTTTGCTTTTTGCAGATAATGTGGTCCTGTTGGTGTCACTGGGCTACGACCTGCAGCATGCAGTGGGGCGGTTTGCTGCTGAATGTGAGGCAGCTGGGATGGGGATCAGCATAGCCATGGTTCTCAACTGGAAAAAGGGTGGATTGCCCCCTCCAGACTGGGAATAATTTACTGTCTCAAATGGTGGAGCAGTAGTAGAGTAGTTGTGTGGGGGGGTGGGGGGAGTGGACTGTCACACCCCCAATCAGCTCAGCTCCAGATCTTGTTTGGGATTTCGTACTGCTTCAATATATTGCCAACCATGTCTCTGTTTACACAACCCAGTGGCCTGTACTACGAAGTGGGGTTACTGGCTTATCGGGGTAACTTGTCAGATTTAAGGTACCACAGTTTAAATGGACTTCATATTCGTTTACTTATATTTTGCCCAGACTACCTTAAATCCGAGTTACCCCGATAAGCCAGTAACCCCGCTTCATAGTACGGGCCCCAAGTCTTGGATATCATTTTGGACTATTTATACTGCCCAGAGCATCTCTTGACCCCCTGTCGGTCTTCACAATTGTGTTTTGGGATTGCAGCTTTAGATTTGTTAATGAATGTCTATGGATCCTTCTGTGACTAGAACCCAGTCTCCTTCATTACAGTAGTAATCATGGATAGGTTTTGAAACCGCTACACTAATACACTCACTTCCAGCAGTATTGATGTCATTACACCAGTAACTACATCCAGGAGTACTGACGTCAGCATGCCAGCTAGATCTTCATTCAGAGTGAAGCATCTCCTGAGTATGTGGGGTAAATCATGCTGGTGTTCACATCCTTAATGATGGGCAGGCCTAAGCATCAGCCTCATATCCCACCCAAAACGCTCTCCATCTCACACTGCTGCTAATCCTCTGTCCACCTTAAACACCGGGAACCTGGTCACACAGCTCCTGTAGGCTACCTGAAGGAGAAATGCTGTTGCTCTGTACTCTTACCCTGTCCACATGACCGGTGGCTGAGGCCAGCACCCTGCCTCTCCTCCAGTCCCACACACACACCGTGTTCTTGGCATCAAGGCCCACAGAGGCCAACCTCTGTGTGGGGAAGAAGATCCAGTGAAATTTAATACAGGGGCACAGACAACCTCTGCATGGTTACCTGTAGAATCAGTGTTACATCAATGACATGCTGAGACCATTAACTTAAGATTGGCTTATTTTTTAGCATAGTACTGTGCTGATTGGCCAAGTTGCATCAAGTGTCTCCATCACAGGGTCTCCTTCATGTGTGATGAACAATGCTGCGTTCCATTTAGCTCGGAGGTTGGAAGTCACAGCTGGGAACGCCCAAGTTGACCACGTTCCAGTACAACAAGTCGGAAAGCCATTTAGAAACACCAGCTCTAGCCCGGTTAATTGTTAGCCATTGTTAGTAACACCAGTTGATAACAATGCATTATGAGCATACAGAAACCACAGATCGCGGATGGGCAGTGCTGTGCGTATCACTAATTTAATGAAACAAACAAGACATAAGTGCTATTGAAGTTCTATGTGACGTTTGGAAGTATAAGATGGAGGATCTTATGATGAACTGCACCCCCACCCTCAGGACATACAGTAAAAGGTCATGTGAAAAGTAGATCGGGGACGTCTTCAAGATCGATCACAATATAAAATCAATGCAAAAAGGATAGCCCACTCCTAATCTGTATGACCCATTTTCATTTACGTCTTTAGTAACTTTTATTCTGCTAATTAATGGAAGAGCCTTAAAGCAAACTGAGGTTTTTGGGTGTGTATTTGTGAATGCAGTATCATTCCTATTCATGACCGCAATGTGGCGAGTATATGCCTTCTCCCCCCACCTTGTTTTACACTGCAGTCAAGCTTGATGCGTTGTTTAATCATATAGGCTTACATGAGAACTCAGTACAAATATTGTAAGGTCTAAGCAATGATGGAAATAGGTTACCGTATTTGGTGAGAGGAAAAAAAGGGCCTGTCCTGGGATCACATTCATCAACCAATCAGGTAGCGCTTCTATTATGAATATTAATGAGCTTTCCCTAACCACCCTGTAAAACTAAAATTTGCATCCAAGGAAATCTGGATATATGGTAGCCTTACAGTTAACCCTCGTTTTACAATCTACACACAACTGAACACTTGTATATGTGTATACAATATGTGTATGCAAGTTTTTTTCAACAAAAGTTATAACACCCTAAGCTAAAGTTTGTTAAATTTCAAGCAGGCGACACGTTTCATTGTTCACATGAAAACAAAAATAAAGCCTCAAAGTGACGATGGTTTCCGGAAGCTGATGTCACTCGTGAGCAGCGTGACACATAGGGACGTGCGTGTCCTTTCATTTTTAAAGTAAACGCCTGCACAAGCCTTGTAAATGCTGTGCGATGATACTGAGTGGCTGCTGTATGTTCAAAGTCGGTGCCTTTTCCTGCACTTGGAGGAATCTAACTTGCATCACTGGGTCATACGAGTTGCAGCACTACACCTAATATACCACCGGGACGCCCGGACGGGTGCCCAGAAACAGGATGTGTCCGGGGAAAGCCAGATGTATGGGAACCCTAGATGGAATGGAATAATGTGACAAACCGTAGCAGCTAGAGGCCCGGCTCACCTGCCCGTCAGAGTGGAAAGCCAGGCAGGCCACACCGTGGGTGTGCACGTCTTTCAGGATGGACAGCGTCTGCACCGTGTGACTGTCCCATATGCATATAAACGGGTCCTTCCCAACCTGCCCGGTGGCCACCTGCACTCTGTCTGGGTGCAAAGCCAGACTGCGGGGAGAGAGAAGCAGCATGATTATGTGCAGTGTGTTACAGCAATTCATTCACACAATTACACAATTTCACATAATTTTATACGTACATGGGAATAAGACTTCATTATCAATCGTTTTTTATTAACATTAAAAATGTAGGTATGCAGTCATCACAAGTATAATATAAACCATAAAAATGCTGCCATTAAAACATAACATGCATACCCAGGGCTGTGTAGGACAGGCCTCTGGACCCTGTGTGGACCCTCGCTAGGACAAGCAGTTAGACAATAGGTGGATGGAAAGATGGATGGGTGTATTGACATTGTTGAGCAAATAATGAACATAAATATGTTTAAAACTGGAAAGGGGCTATCAACAGCACTGTATTGCCCACACAGCCCCTGCACCCGCTCCCCAGCCATCTATCCTTACTCCTCCCACACCCCCAACCTCTACAATCTCTAGAAGTACTGGATGGATCACCTGCAAATGTGAGTTAATAAATCTGTTTTACCTGAATGCTCTTAGTCCTAGCTGTGACAACTCTGAAACTGCACCTATTCATTTATTACGCATTCCACTTACACTACATTCCCAATTTGCACAATCTCTCCCCACCATATAGGTGGTTACCCGTATTTCTTTGGTCTTACTAGATTCTCTCTTGAGGGCACATTTCATTTTTTTATTTAGTGAATGTTCTCTCCGAAGCAATGAAAGTCAGAGAACAGGACCATGCAGCATCCTTGGAGCAAATGCGATTAAGGGTCAGCTGTGATTTTAACTCACAACCTTACGATTGCGGGCACAGTCCCAGCCTGCAGAGCTGCACTCTACAGATAGAATGGTCCTAGCAGTGTTCCTATATCTCTTACAGATAATTTGCACTAATTACTGGTCACTCACTGGAAGCTCAGCTTAGCAGCACCAAGGCTGGCCTCAGACAGCTGTCTGCTATCTCACTAATAAATATTACTGTAAAAATGGAGAAAAATTACTCTTAAAAACAACCATACTACAGCACCATTTCCTGAAAGACACTCATTTATAAACACCTGGAAGATTTACTGGGGAATCATGCAGAACCCAAATCCTGTATTTTCCAGAGGAGCTTTCATATGCAGTGTACCCACTGGGGAGCTTTTGAAGGTCTTAGCTCTGTAAGATATCTACCACAGCACCATGTGACAGCACCATGTGACAGCACCATGTGACAGCACCATGTGACAGCACCATGTGACAGCACCATGTGACAGCACCATGTGACAGCACCAAGGGAAGCAGCACCGCCAGCCTGAGGCACAGCCAATCAAACACAAAGCTCCTCACAGTCATTTCTTTGGGGTTTGTTTTCAGCTCTTTTTTTCCAACAGCAGGAACATCATGTAACAATGAAGTGCATCTGTGCTGGCTGAGCGATTACATTACGCGGTATGACAGGCTGTTTTTACAGAAAGGAACTTTCACCTTTTGCCTTAAATCATTCAACTGTCAAAAAGAGAAGATAAACAAAAGGTTTCAACCAGGGCTGGCCCAACACTTTCCAGAGTCCATGCGAAATTTGTCATCTTACTCCGTATTCTGACAGGCAGATCGGTTGGGCGCCCCCTGGTGGCAGCTTCACCGATTCACTTATGACATGGGCCAGCCCCGATTTTGCAATCTCAATTCATACCCCTATGTGATCTCATTCTTGACAATTCTGCCATGTCTGCATGAGCAGGGACATCCGTTACATCAAATCAAGCAGTCCCCTTTTCCTACATAAGCTGTAAGAACCGCGTTACACCATGAGACATGTCTGACAACGTGAAAGAAAAAGCTTTAAAAACATGAACAAAATAATTCAGACTTGAGAAGGCTCCCCTAGTGATGGCGAGGAAGAGGAAAGACATTTTCCAACCTCAGATCGAACAATAATATTGTTCTCATACCAGAAAAAGGGTAAACAGTGTTTTGTAAGAGTTACAGCTCCCGAGGGTAACGAAACAGATTTGTAGAAAAACACACCGAAGGTGTTATAAGTAGGAACAAACTTAAATATATGTTTAGTATTACTTGCAGTTGAAATGAGTTGATTGTTAAAGCCTCCAGCAAAGTTGATGCGACAGTCTCATTTATGTAACGATAACAGCATTCCAGCTGGGAGGGAGCAAAAACGTGGACTGTCTAGGGTCCATGAAAACACTGCTGCAGAGTATCCACAACCAGATCTGTCAAGCTTTGCACTTCTGCCAAAAATGTTACACTTGTTTTATTCTTCTGTTGTTTCCTTGGCTCAGACACTTGATAAATGCAGACTGGACATTCGACACTTGGCACAGATACTTTATTCGAAATAAAAAAGAACATTTCAAGCAGTTCATAACTTTGCAGCTCTGGGTGGGTGCAGATTGGACAAAGCCCAGTTAAAAGCAGCCCTACTACCCTCCAGAGGAAGGACCTATGCCAGTGTTCCTCAACCCGGTCCTCGGGGACCTCCAGCCGGTACATGATTTTGCTTCCTCCCAGCTCCCGAGTTGGGAAACACTGACCTAGAATGACAAAGGCCAAAAGTTCACTGAGTAATTGAGAGTGACGTGTGCAAAACCCAGTATCACTCCACCGTGGCACATGCTTTAACAGTACAGGCATGTTCAATGAGGCAAAGACAAAACACAGTCATAATTAATGAGGAACTGTGCGCCTCAATCACCCCACAATGAGTGATAACTGAACCAAATAAACCCAAGAGGGATGTGGTCTGGATTTCTCAAAAGCACCTATCCAGCGTGACAGAATAAGTTACCTCTTATTGCGTAAACACCGCATGTAAATCACAGGAAACCAATACGCTTTCCTAGTATTTGTTTGAAATAAACATTTTAACGTTGTTGTTAAATTTCTTCTGTTATCACAAAACTCTTTCAATTTTAAATATGCTGTACTCAGTGCCTGAAGTGGGCCTGTACTCAGTGCCTGAAGTGGGCCTGTACTCAGTGCCTGAAGTGGGCCTGTACTCAGTGCCTGAAGTGGGCCTGTACTCAGAGACTGAAGTGGGCCTGTACTCAGCACCTGTTTACTTTTCTCTTTCTCAGAGTACAGGTTCTTCTCAACATCAGCTGGAAGTGAATAACAAGGGGAGTACTGGCACCTGGGGCTGAATAAGAAGCGGAGTTCTGGCACCTGGTACTCAATAACAAGAGGAGTACCAGTACCTGGTACTGAATAACACTAGATAAGATTTTAGCAACTCTAAGCTATTAGTTAAGTTCTCCCCAAGCGAGCTCGATGGGCCGAATGGCCTCCTCTCGTTTGTATAGTTCTTATGTTCTTATGTTCTTATAAGACAGGGAGTACCGACACCTGGTGCTGGATAACAAGGGGAGTACCAGCACCTGATACTGAATAACAACGGGAGCATCGGCGCTTGGAGCTGAATAACAACGGGAGCATCGGCGCTTGGAGCTGAATAACAAGGGAAGTACCGGCACTTGGAGCTGAATAACAAGGGGAGTACCAGCACCTGATACTGAATAACAACGGGAGCATCGGCGCTTGGAGCTGAATAACAACGGGAGCATCGGCGCTTGGAGCTGAATAA